AATATCTTAAAAAATAATAATAATGGGCAATAATTATTTTTGGATGGAAGGAATGAAAATAAGGGTGGAATAGGCGAAGTTAATTGGTTTGTTATGTTCTCTGGGCTCACATATTTCTATACATATGCCTATCTAATTTATTTATAAAAGCTTTGCTGAATAAATATAAGTTATTAAGTATCAATATGGGAGTGTAGAAAAAGTAGAATTAAAGTTTATATTTATACAAGTCATTGAGACTTCTTTCTTTGGAGTCTTATAACCATTTTCCTTCTTTCAGGTACAGAGAACTACAACTTAGTACAGAAAGCAAAGTAACAGAATTTCTCCATCAAAGTAAATTAAAATCCTTTGAAAGTGAGCGTGTTCAGCTTCTACAAGAGGAAACTGCAAGAAATCTCACACAGTGTCAATTGGAGTGTGAAAAGTATCAGAAAAAATTGGAGGTACGTGTACAAGCTTTTTTTCCCAAGAGTAGCATAGCAAGTAAGCTCCTTACTTTATTTCTCCTGTAGGACCTGGCACTGTCCTGCACACACACAAAAAAAACAAGGAAATACGTATTTTCAGAAAGATTTCATACTAAAAGGACAGGAGTTGTTAGAAAACAAAAAAATAGGAAAAGATCTCATTCACAATAGCAACCAAAAATATATAATTACTTGGAATATTTTTAATAAGAACAGCACAGAATCTGTATCAAGAAAACTATAGAACTTCACTGACATATGTAGGAAGAAACACCATCTTTCTGAAAGGGAAGATTCAGAATTAAATATTTTTCAGTTTTCACTAAGTAATATTGTATGTTTGTTTCTAATTAAATGCTAGCATACTTTTTTTTAATTCAACAAAGTAATTCTGTAGTACAACTGGAAGGAAAAACAGAATAATCAATTATTTTAAAAGATGATTTTAAAAAGATATAATGAGAAGAAATATATATCATATTTTAAAATACATTCTGAGGCAAGAATAATTAAAACACACACAAAAACAGGCCACAAATAGTATTAAAATAAAAAGCCCCAAAACATATTTCATAAATTTAAGAATTTATCCATGGAAAAGGTCATATTTCAAATCAGTGAGGAAAATACAGATTGGACAATAAATGGTGCTATGATAATCATTTGACTATTTAGAGAAAATAGTTGGATCTGTACATCACACCAAATAGCAAAATAAAAAACTTAGATGAATTACTAAGCTGAATATATAGAGATCAAATTTTATCTTGTGTTCATTTCGGGAATTAATCTGTTAAACTATTAATGAAAGCAAGGAAAGAAATCATGTAGGAAAAATAAAACCTAAATGTTTAAAAAAATTCTGAATAATATTAAAGACAAAATGGAAAGTAAAAAATAATATTTGTGTTATTTATGACAACAGGCCTATGTTCTTAATTTTAAAAGATATTTTATCAAGAGGACATAGCTTCCTCTTCTAGGTAAGTAAGTAAAAAAAAGAAATAGATCATTTCCAAAAAAAGAAATTCAAATTGCTAATAAATAGATGACAATATATTCTCACTGATAATTAAAAATATACAAATTTAAACTTTTTTTACCTTTATATAGGTCTGTGTGTTGTTTCAAAGTACTGGCAAGAGTACCCTTAAATGGGAAATCTCATGCAGTTAGAAAATGGAATAGCCCTTCTGGAGGACAATATGGTAATCTGTGTTAAAGGCCTTAAAATGATCCAGTAATTTTAGTTAAAGGAATTTTATCTAAGGAAATAATAAGAGATGCTTATAAAGGTTTGTATTAGTGATATACATAACAATATGATTTATTATAGTAAAAATTAGAAGTAACCTAAATGTCCAATGGTAGATAAACAGATTTCAATTAGTTTATTATGTAATAAATTGTGG